TTATTAGGGCTTTTTTGTCCATTTCCCGAAAACCTTAGGCCTTATCGCCTTTCCGAAAATGATAGCTGACCTTTTCTCGGTACCCAAAACGACATTTTTAACAATCCGAAAACAACAGACATTAAATTTCTCATATCACGAAAGTTTGAGGTGACAATTCTCTTAAGAAAATCAGAGGGGATTAAAGGCCTTCCGAACAGATAATTTACCGAAACGATCCGTTGGGTGCCGCTGTCGTAGACAGGAGCAGTCAATGGAGGTGAGAGAAAATGGAGATGACGAGGAAATTAATCGGCGAAGTAAAAGTTGGACTTCTTCCTCGCCGAGTTTTTTCACTGTCGTATAGACTTTCCCTCGACCCGCACAGCTTGCCCCTAAGTCTCCTGGTATGCGTTTTTCCATGTTTTGGCATGTGAAACTGTTCCCTGGAAAACGTAAGAAATCAGTGGCATTTCCGAGCGCTAAAAAATAAAAGTTTCCCGGGGAAACTACGGGGGTTTGGGGGCTGGGTCGGGCATCCCCCCAAACCCCCGTGGGGTACTCCATAAAAAATACACCCCACTTCCCTGTGAATGTGCTCAATAAAGAATTATTAAAGATCTCGGCAATTTAAGGAGCCTCTCAGCTTCAGGTTTTCACTAGCGCGTAAGCAAAAGCCGACTTGCGCAGACGCAGAGAGATGTTGATAATAGGCCACGTTCGATATATCAATATTGTAACATGGCTCCGAGGCTTTCATGACAACTTCTGTATTTCGTGGTGTTTTCCTTGTATCCAAGTCTCTTTTGGGAATTGAAGGACGAAAGAAACTTTATAAATTGCAACCATGTCCTGAAATCCTCGGAACCGGGTTAGATTGATATATCGAACATTAACGTGGCTAATAGCGCCTTTTGTTAGCGAATGCCCTAACCAGACGCGTTACTTAGCAAAGTTCTACTTCATCTAAATATGTTTCTTATGCCTATGCAAAAAAAGCAAATATTAAAAAATATATATAACTGCGCAAGAATTTGAAAGTGAGATGAACCGCCACAAATATGAAGAAAATTCGTTTTCAGATCCTAAGCTTTTGTGGATTGTTTTTTTTTTTTGTAATCTGCGAGGTTGTTAGCCTTGGTTTATATAGAAGGCTTCCGAAGTAGACAGGTCTTCATTCTTCGCGCGATGCAATACGTGGAAATTAGAATTCGAGTTATTCTGATAATTAAATCAGGCTGTTTATCGATAGATTAAAGGATATTGCGCTTCCATGTATTTGAATCACTAAGACTGCTACTTCTATGATGATTTATCAGGGTGATTGATGATTTATCAGCCAGGGTTTGGGGGTATACGGTATACAGGGGAATTTTAATTCCAGTATACGGTATTTTGACGCCAAAATTGGACCTTTCAGGGGTATGCCATGTTTCTCCGAATTTTTGGTATTTCGCATAAATTTGAAGGGAAATTTTGGATATAATGGGTTTTTCTTTTCAGTTATATTGGTGTACCACTTCCCCCCATTGCCGACCCTGACTTATTTCTTTTAGGCTAGGCAAAGGATAAGAAAGCAATGAAAAATACTGCTTCCATTATCAGTGTCGATCTTTTACCAGCAGAGATCTTGGTAATTTTCTGTTCAATTAACACTTTTAACAAACAGAACAAAATTTGCAAAAATTAGCTAGTTATACCTTCGTTTCCACTGATGGCGTCGGGAACAGTTTTCACACGGCAGCCCTTATATTAACAGCTTACCAGCGCCACATATCGTTCGTGTGATAAGTTCATATTCCTTAGCAGTTTTGTTCGCGTCGCAAACACGCTGAGTTTGACATGGAAACAATGGTTTCTTGGATACTTAGGCAAGCGAACGTCAGTAAACCAATGGCAAACCAAGTTAGAGAAGTTTTTAATTGATCAATTTTAATTGCTAAGCA